GCTCGGGCACGATGCTCCGGAGCCGGAGGGATGCGGCAGCTCGGGCACGATGCTCCGGAGCCGGAGGGATGCGGCAGCTCGGGCACGATGCTCCGAGCCCGGCCGGGGCTGCCGCCGGGCAGATCTGCGGGATCTGCTCGGGGATGCTGAGCTGCGGCAGCTGGGTGCCCTGCCAAGGCTGAGCGTCCTCCTGGCACGGCTGCCTGGCACGGGTCACCGCGGTAGCCGGGGGTGACCTTGGCCGTGCTCTGGGGCGCGGAGCGAGCCCCGCTGCCAGCCCTGAGGAGGTGCTCGGCTCGGGTTTCACCGGCCCGGGGCTGGCACACTCCTCCAGCCCGGGCTGGCACACTCCTCCAGCCCGGGCTGGCACTCTCCCTGCTGGCACGGCAGGCGCTGGCCATGCCGCGGGTGCGTGCTGGAGGCTCCGGGAGGAGGAGAGCTGCCCTGGGAGGGGCTGGGAGGGAAAGGGAGCTGCCCCTCCTGCCAGAACACCCAGGACTGTTACTATGGCACACGAGAAAGATTGATGCCAGTTGCTGTTATTGCCACAGTAGAAGACTTAATTTATTTCTTTTTTACTCCAGCAGTTAGAGTTTTCCAAAGGTGGCAGTGGATTGGAGGGTGAAAGTGCCACCTCTCCAACGAACTGGACAAACCACCAGTCTATCAAATTTCTCTGCCTCTATGAAGGAATGCAGAACAATCAATTATTTACAGAATATGTGTGAGAAGGTTTGCTACAAGAATGTAAACTCAGAAGGATTTAGAAAATCTTAAAAAATCAGAACATTTCCAGGATGTCTGATCTGCTCGGGCACAAGCTGCTGCAGGTGTGTCACCCTGAAACGCTCAAGGAAACAAGGACAGGAAAAGGAAAGGAAACCCCAAAGCCCAGCAAGCTGTGCTGAAGATGTGTCCTGTGGAAAAAGAATAAATAATGCAGCTCTGCTTCCACTAGCCTGGCTGTGCCTGCTGGGCTGGGCCCACAGGAGCTCCCCAGGCTGTGGTGGCCACAGGGTGGACAGCTCTGGCTGTGGTGCCCTGGTCACTG